CAAGTCTATCTCTTCGGAATGATAAAGAAATCTCGTTCTTGCGCGTAACGACAGCATCCATTATCTTGTTTTTCATTGCCACCCTTCTTCTTCATTCTTATTTATTCTTCTTCCTCTTCTTCACTTCTCTTTCTAAACTTGAAGCCGCAGAAAGATCCATATATCGATCGAACAGTTTCATAGGATAACTCGAAAACGTGCGTTTGAAAATGCATAGCAGCCACACACTGTATCCCAAAATGGAACTTCTTTTTCTTCATCTCATCGATCAGTCCATCGATTCTTTTTTTTTTTTTTTTTTTACATAACAAAATATTTTTCTCTTTCGCGAGCTCACCACGGGCTCGTGCAAATGAATTTCGATTCACGCATTATGTACAATTGTTCGCGAATCCATTCTTGTTTCTTTTTTTTTTTTTTTTCTTTCTTTCGCTTAGACCCGCTTTTTATCGATTGATCCTCCTCAAGAAAAAAAAAAATGTTGCACTCAAAACGGGCACCCTTAATATGATATTTTATAATACATTATTTCTTATGTATGCGCTCGAGTCGAACCTTAAACGTACTGCTTTTGCGTTTTTTTACGTACAATTATAGATATACATTATATAACTCTATTCTTATATACCCTAAAACTTGACAGCAAATTGCATCATGTCCGCGACGGAGTTTTATCAAAGAGACGCAAAATGGAAAACGATAATCGCATCGTTTCCTTGGATCACATCGTCATCTTTAATATTTAATCCTTCAATCATTCCACAGCTCTTATCTTTCCCCTCGTTTCTCTCACCGTTTTCATTGCAAATATCGCGTTTTAGTAAACCTTAATTACATCTATATAATTTACTGCCTAACGGTAAACTCGTCGCCTCTATTTCGTTGGGACAGAACAAAAGTTCTGTCATTCTGTATTTTTTTTTGTTTTTTGTATAACTTTATCGGATTCGCGAAGCCTATACTCTCGAAGACAATAGGTTGATTATCGATAGTCTTAAATTTTTCTTTTTCTTCCTTTTTTTCATTGTTTTGAACTGTGCTAATTTACTTCACTTATAGTTCTTGATCTTTTTCTTTTTTTTTTTTTTTTTTTTGAATCCGAGGAGAAACAAGCTTTCAATGTTGTTATTAAAGAAGATGATATTAGTAAAAGCAATACGAAAATTATGTTTTAATAAATGCACAAAATGAAAGACCTATTGATTCTGAAGTATAAGCTTCTTCGAATGGATAGTGCCCTTCGGTGCACTATAAGTCTACCTCATTCGTTTTTGTATCTTTTTATTTCTAAATCGTCGTTTGTTTTAAAGCAGACCAAAGTTTCGCGGAACAATGCTCTGTACAGCGATGCTTGATGTAAAAATATAAGCTTATAAAATGAAAAAAAAAAAAAAAAAAATAATAAAAGTAAGAGAAACCATTCGAAGAAGAAATGCCATGTGGTTTATAGAACAGATAGACGGAGGAGAAACATCTGCGCGTGACAGGAAAGTCATTTTCTTAAGACCATTTTGATATAAATATATATCTAATTTACAATTTTTTCCGATCCGAAGTACTAGTCTCCAAAATTTTTAAATAAAAATTAAAATAGTCAATCTATCATCCTTCCTTTAAAATCTTTATTCACTTGTAAATTTTATTTGGAAGGTAATAGAGAGACTAATATATATAATTTGTACAATTATACGATATGTACAGCTGAGTAAAACTCAGATATAAAAGCAGTTCTCATTATATTAAATTATAATTTGCACTTAAATTTGATTTTTATGATATACTAAAATTATATTTATCATAGATAAAATTATGAAATTTATAAAATAAAAATATACAGTCAATTGATCAAACAGCATGAAATTATATATAATACGCATTTACTTAATTCGTTTCTACATAGTTAAAATTTACTGCTAATTATATTATTGACCTGTATAGTATGGAAACTAGGTCTACGGATCAAGATGGCAGCGCCGCGTCTTTCACTACTGGCCGATTAAAAGTGGAATGAACATCTGGCAGCGCGGATAATTTAGTAATTGACTCAAAATACAAGCGTCGTGCATTCACATTTTTGCGTGAAAAATAGAAAATTTCTATCTTGCAAAATTTCAAATTTACCGCGCAAACATTACTCTCCGCGGTGAGCCTTGAAATAAAAAAGAGAAGAAAAAAAACTAAAGTTATTTCGCACAACGATTACACGTAGGAAAAATTATTGTCACGCACGTGCGAGCGATGGCACAATCTCTTTTCGTTCATAATTTCTTTGTCCAAGTAACACACGCACGCACACATTTTTAAACGCCATCGATCGTGTGTTGCTTTTCTTTTATTATTGATCGTGCAATGATGCTTAAACCGCTCTGCACATGCGAGAAATGGAGAAGTCAAACGGACACGTTTTTTCCAAGTGTATTCATCTTTCATTTAACTTGCTTTTGGTTTACGAATTTTGTTCGAACGATCGCAAAAATAAACGATCTTCATTTTAATTATCTTCTGGATAAAACGTGTCCATTTTCTTTCTTCTTCAAGAACGAAGGAATTGGATTCTCCCTCCGACCGTATATATTTAATGTATATATATATTTATGTTTATTCTCTCTCTCTCTCTTTCACACACATACGCGCGCACGCGCTTAACTCACACTTTTCTTTTGGCACACTCACATACGTACATACATACATATTCGCATTCTTACTTCCTTTCGCAATCACCAACGCATACATACTTTCTGGAGACACTCTCAAGATATATATCAAGGTACATGGTCGAATCTCGATTCGCTAAAATAGTCAGTGCGTTTTTTTTTTTTTTTTTTTTACGTACCGCAATCGCGGTCAATCCATTTCCCCTACATTTTATAATTTAGCCGCACATCAGATTGACACGGATACTTGTTTTATTATAATGTGTAAAATTTTTGTGCAATTCATTTGATCTCCCTGTTTCCTTTTTTTATACCATATTTTTACGAGCTCTATGATTAATCTTCCGTCAAATTAATCCCATTTAATAGAAAACAAAAAAAAAAAAAAACAAAATGATATTGTATTTTTTATGGTCGCGCATCGCGCTGGTGTACGGCTGGACTTTCACGAGCAGCAGCAGGAAGAAGAATAAAAAATATTGTCATCGACAGGCTCGTCAGAGATGCGTTATGGAATTTACAAGTAAACAATCAATAGATCACGAGAAACTTCTCCTTGCTACCGTAGGTAAAAATCGTACTTTCCTTAACAATGGTCTAGCCCTTCGAAAATGTCTTTTTTTTATCGTTCGATATATAAATGTGTGCATCGTAGAACCACGCAGAAAACAAACTTTCGATCTTCTTTTATTTTCGTTATTATCAGTGATCTTGAAGAGAATGTCGAATTTGCGTTCGAATTTGAAACGATTCGATTCGAACGCAAAGCGACACTTATTATATTAATATTATAAATCGATTATCGAAGAGCGAGTGAAAATGGCATCGAATTTCGCTGCATGATTCCATGACCACTAAATTTCCTTGGTATAGAAATAAAACACAAATAAAAGTTCCTTTCGCGAGAACAATTGAGATCAAAGCATGTGCCTCGAATTTTGACGATTGTTTCAACGAGAATTAAAGATATTTAAAATCAAATCTGAAATATACGAATCGAATACCACGTAAGAAATCTAAATGGAACAAAAAAGGAGGCACGATTGGATCAGAAAAAAAAATAACATCAATCTTTTACCGATTAAAATCGCGCTTTCTCACATTTGTTCTATCTTTTTAAAAAAAACATTGATTGAGATATTTGATTTGAATATGTAATCGTAGACCATAGCGCTTAAAAAGACAGCTTCTTCCTCTTCTCTCTCTCTCTCTCTCTCTCTCTCTCTCTCTCTCTCTCTCTCTCTCTCTCTCTCTCTCTCTCTCTGTCGCTCGCTCGCTCGCTCGCTCGCTCTCTATCTCTCCCTCCTTCTTTTCCTTTCTATCTTTGTTTCACTTCAGACCTTTCAACTTAATTCTAAATTTAAGGCTTAATTAATTAATCGACATAGTGTTTCGTGTGGCTGTGTTTTGTGTCCCTGTATAATGATCAGTGCTTTGTATGAAATTGATGAGCTGTTGATTTCCATTCTCTTGCATGAAAGATCAATTTAAAACGATATTATTATATATCGATAATATGATGTCGCGTTTCGAAGTTCCCTCGTGACAAAATACTTTTGAGGGCAAAACGATTCGAAATGCGACACAATTTCATTGTTTCATTTTTGTATTGTTTGACGTTGTCGTTCGAAGACGTTAGTTCTATTTTATATTTCTTCTACATATTTACTTCGATGCGAGTTTGATCCTCACATTTTTCCTTTCGATTCATTGCTTAATCACGAATTTTTTTTTAAAAAGAATGGTTCGCCGGTATTCTTTCCCTAATGAAAAATGGTACGGATATGCAAAAATTCGTATTGATTCTTTTTCTCTGCTCTTTAACACCACTTTCACACATGAGAGTTTGCCAAATGATAGTAAAGGAAAAAAAGCGTTAAAATCTGAATAAAAGAAATTTTACGAAGTACGAACATAAAATTTCGCCCTAAATCAAATATACTCAACCGATGTGAATAAATCGCTTACAAAACTATTAAATATATAAATTGTGAATTACGGAAATTAAGTAAATAGCAAGAGATTGATTTTTTTTTCCTGATGTCATTAACCTAAAACTACACTTGTGATTTAAAAAAACGAAAAGAAAAAGAAAAAAAGAAAAAGAGCACATCACCATAAATGTAATTACAACTAAATAATAATAATAAAAAAAAAAAAGAAAATATATATATGTATGAAAAAAAAAAAAAAAAA